ACCATTTCCTCTGTTTTAAAACTAATCTCCAAATCTTTTCTAGTTCCTGCTCTTCAAATATGAAGATGTGCTGTTTTCCTCTATTTTATATAATTTAAATTTCTTTTTTTTTTTTTTTTTTTTTTTACAGCAAACCTGTGTTTGAAAATGATATAGTTAAGGGTTAAATCACCAACTAGTATAACAGATGGAAAGTATCGTAGTTAAAATGAGCTCCACATCGACCAGCTATAACTATAATAGTACATATATGGTATCACCACTTTACTGCCTAATGCATACTTGTACCAGTGTGATGTTGCTATTTTTTACTGAAGTAAAAGATCTGATTTTCTTCCACCGTTTTGAGTACCGTAAAACTTTAAAAGCAGAGTTCCAGTTAGACAGCTTTCTCCTTTACTGGCCTGATGAGTCTACACGTTTTGACAAATAAACACAGGTCTCCATTAGAAGTGTGGTCTGGCTTTTATAGAAGTTCTTTGGATGTATAAAACCTCTTTAAGGCCACCAGGTCACCCGCTTGAGCTCGTTCTAAGCTGCTTAGGTTGCGCATACCCAATATAAATGTTTAAACTTTTGTCAATATGGACATGCTACACATCATCTTCTTCACAGTTCAGTGGTTCAGATTTAAAAGTATGGTAATCAAAAGAGACAAAAAAAGTAATATTTATACTGTTTAAAATATTACACATGAGCGAGAATTTTGTGCGAAAGGAATGAAAGGCCTGTCCTAAATACAGGCAGAGTGAGTTCAGTGATTGAAGTTTTAAGGTAATTAACTATTTAATACTTAGTACCAAACACTGCAAGCTGCAGCTATCCACCCACTGTACCCTCACTGCTACAACTGTTTGTTAATCGGGTTCATCGGATAGGATGTAGCTAAAGTTTCACCCTGCTGCTGCCTATCCAATGTAAAAAAAAAATACAACAAACTTCACGGAGCATCAGCTCACATTGCAGCCACCACTCATCTGAAAGCACCTTGAGGGCTGAATGGTCGGGTCATACCTTTGGTTTAGCCCATTAGCAGACTACAGATACCTTGGACTCTCATTGGACAATTCTGAGGCACAACTCTAGTTTTTAGATTTTAATGTTGGAGACGTACCAGGGGGCCCTCGCGGCCCTTTCTGTCCGACTCCTGACACTCCTCGGTCGCCTTTCTCTCCTGCAGGACCTGAAGGAAACACAAGATCAGGTTTATGTCTGCTAAACAGCTGGAGGTTCAAAACCTGCAGTGGATTTGATTAATAATCAGGATCTTGCACTGATGTAAAACACTTGATGTGCAGAATTAAACTATTAAATTGCATTAATTGGTAGTGTCCAAACCAGTCCTACTTTTTGGCTGAATAAGATCTTTTCTTCGGGTTACATACGAGACAGAAGTTACTATAATTAAAGGTCGACTTTTAAAACCAGTTTGAGCTGCTCGGTATTAAGCTACATGGCGAAGGCGAATAAAAAAAGCTTTAAATGAAACTTTAAGTTTCATAATCGGCTGTTTGTACAATGATTTGTCTTTGTTGAAAGAGGAGTGCGTTAGGATAGTGACGTTAAAATTGTTTCTGCTTTTCTTGAGGACGTTTACATCCACATCAGATGAACAGTTAACCTCTTTATACACAGGCAGATTGTTTTGTGTAAATTTAAATAAATATAAAGTAAAGATGTTTAATATTTGGCCAGCTTCACTCCCTGCTTGTTTTGGGGGATTTGTTCGGGCCTAAAAAGTCTGATTGCTTTCTCTGTGCGTTAAGGATCATTGGCTCCAACTCATACAACCACTGTTCACTTAGCAGGGATGTAAACACCCTTAAATTAAAGTTGAAGGCACTTTAACCTCATAGTCATTGTTGTTTCATGTCCCATTCAAAGAGCTGAAGAAGCCAAAACAGTAATAAAAACCATGTCACTGTCCGGATAGTGTTTCTCTGCACTTAGGTGTTGATCTCTTTCTGCACAAACTCCAGCATGTTTACTGCAACTGGCAAGAATCACTTAAGTTTTTAATCCTCGTCCTGTAAACACAAGTGATTGTTTTGTTTTTTTTGGAATAAGTGATATAAAGTATCAGCACCATCAAACTGCTGCATAAGAGCTCTTCAAATAAGCCTCCTCCTCTAGTATGATAAACTGTGCTCCATGCAGCTTTACCCTCGGTCGTCAGTGTTTTCTCATATGTGATTTGGTTTTATGCTTTGGTGATACAAAGACAGAGGAACGTCAGACTTTAGAGTATAAGGCAGTGAAAACAGAGGTGTTTCCCGATAAAGCCAGGCCTCGTTAGCATCTTGTGATGGTTTTGTGATTTTTAAATAAACCTGCTGCCGTGTAAATAATCACTGTGCTCCCATCCTACAAATCATTCCAGGTCAGTGTTACTTCTTTAACCGCTCATGTGTCGTACCTCTCTCTCCCTGCTGGCCGGGTAAACCTGGACTTCCTGGGAAACCGTTTCTTCCTGTGGGGCCCGGCTCTCCGCGGGGTCCCTGCCTGCCTGGGGATCCGGGAGGCCCCGGAGGGCCGGGGCTATTGCTGCGGTACATGCCGTTGGGGATCTGGTTCAGTAACGTGTTGACGCGAGTCATTTGTGCTGCAGCAGCAGAGGAGGAGAGAGGGGAACATAACGGTCAGTGGCAGAGTTACTGCATCATGAAAGACAAGAGTTTGGAGTCTGGCCGTTTTACAGTGCCAGAAACATTTCCAATGCAGTTCAAGGGAAATATGTTCTACTTACCGTTTACTAGCTGCTCGCAAACCTGTCTGGCGATGGTTCGCATCATGTTCTGAGGAGCAAAGTCGCCCTGGGTACAAAGAGGAAAGATTTTAAGATCGATACGGACAAAAGATTTTATACCAAACTTCGACAAAATGTTCCCTGATTTTTGTGAAAGAGTTTCCTTTACTGTAAAATGTTTATTGGCTCAAGAATAAGTTAACTTAGTTCCCTTTATCGTGGTCGCAGGTTTCCTTCCTTTTCATTACTTCTGTGTTTCGCTCTCTGTATTGATTGATCTACAGTTTCTGTCTTACAGTATATTGTATATCTGGAGCGTCTTCCCATGTCTAGTTGTATTAAAGCGCAGGTGTGTTTTTTTCCCTTTTAATCAAACCATGATGAAGTTGAAGACTTTTTAAATAAAAAAACCTGCACACTGATTCCTCCTTTCTTAAGATTTGATGTTTTTGGCCTTGTAGGACTTCTACAACAAGTCCACCAGAACAATGCTGTCCCAACAAGTAGTTTAGCTTACGATGGGTTAAAACAATCAGATAAATCTGTCTTGTTATCTTAAAACTCAACACTGAAACAGGAACATGTTTTTTGCCACATTGGGCCACAAGGTATTTATATCCCGAATGACTCGTTTTCTTGCCGTAGCTTCTTCAAGTAGGTCCTCACTTCAGATTAAAACTTGTTGTTATGTATGACGTTCTTTAGCTTCTAAGATGTTTGAAAGAATTTAAAGTTTACTCACTCTCTCGCCCTTGTCTCCCTTTTGACCGACAGAACCCTAAAAACAGAAAATCAGATCCGTTTAGTGTCTGGAAAAAAACCCATTTCAAGTCCCACAAAGACGGCATGGCAGTGAGGACACTCACAGGAGAGCCAGATTCTCCAGGGTTTCCTGGGTTTCCTGCAGCACCTTGTAGTCCTGGAGATCCTGGAGGTCCCTGTAAGGAAACAGAAAACCACTGGGTCAGAAGACCAAGCCAGAAAACAACAGTTTGGATATAATTGTTATCACATTCAATAAAAAAATCCCCTAATGAATCACAAAAAAAAGGATGAACAAACATCAAAGCCCTTTACAGATCTTGAAAATCATCCGTCTTGTTAAAATCGAGAATCAGATCATTTGAGTTCAGCTTGTTAAAATCTGGGTGGAGAAAATAAACAAGTCACGTTTCTCCTCTCTGAAACTATTCGTCATTGAGCAAGGCACTTAAATGCTTAGTAAATCGCTTCAGCCGGGTTTACGTGCAAACAGACCGGCCAACAGCGCAGGAAGCAGCTCCCAGGTGTACACGCGTCAAAGCTTGAACTCCCAACAAACCATTAAAAACTCTTACCATGGGCCCTGCGGGGCCTCTGGGTCCAGCTGGTCCTTCTTTTCCTGGAGGGCCCTGGAAATACGAGATAAAGAGTGAAAAACGGTGCAGATACTGTTTATGTTTAAGGAATCCAGAGAGCATGGTTGCCATTAAAACCAGCCTGTCCGTACTCACCCTAACTCCAGCTGGTCCGATCGGGCCGGCGGCACCAGGAGTTCCAGGTGAACCCTGCAAACATGCAAGAAAACAACTCAAAGCCCGTTTCACCTTCCTGCTTAACTAAAAAAAGATCACCTTTGCTCCGACCGAACAAACCGGTTTGTTTCAGCGCCGCATTTCTGCCTGTCCACAGTAAATCTCCTTTTTGCGCTCATTTGCTCAGAAACCCTGCTCACTATTTTTACTGCCAATCCTCTCTGGTCTTTGATGCCTTTGCATAAGATTTACAGGGGACGTAATATATTCCAGATCAGTTTTATTGGCCATTATAAACCAGGACCCGCTTGGTCTGCAAGTCATTAAATGCATGTTGCCATAGCATCCGCTCCAGCATGGTCACCTGCAGCACTGCCCGCTCCATCAGCGCCATCCACGTGGAGATCCAGTCTGAGGGTTTGTTTGAATAAAGAGCTGATTAATCAGTCTTAACCATGACTCCACAGTGTGCAGCTCTGCAGGGAGGGAGGGGCTACAGCCTCCTATCTGAGAGCTCACAGGCTTGATCCTTGTAAACAAACTCTTTGTCCCTAAAGGTCCCTCTGAATCAGCAGGAAGGTCAAATTCTTCCAGTCTGTTAGACTAACTGGTGAAACCTCAATAGGTGGCACCAATAACCTTTTATTTTCCTGGTTATGGCTGTAACATTATGAAGCCTGCCCGACCGCATAAAGACATCAGTCAAACCAAAATAACTGTTACACAAACACAGATTCTGCCTGTCTGACATGCAGAGAGAGCTGCTGCGTTGTGTCACCGAAACTAAACACGCTGACCTCCTCCAGCACCAGGTAAAGACGGGGTCTTGAAGTTGTCATGCCTTGATCTGCACAGTAAAATCAGAAATGGAAATAGCCAAACAAAGTGCAAGCACTTAAGTGCACCCCTCTCTCTCTCAGGCTTTCCAACTATAATCTTCCACCAGGCTGTGCAATTACACTTAAATTGAACCTTGACCACAGATAGGTTGATCTCTCAGGAGCACATCTAATGGGTTCCTGGCCAAGGTTGACGCCTTATATATTTCATAAAAGCGTAATTATTTCCTCTGATGTTGGAGAACGTGCTCCTTATTTCAGACGAGGCTGCACAGTGTCTGGGGAAACCCTAAATTAGGATTTTTTTTTTGTCACATTTGACTAGACGGTGTTCTGGCATTGATGGCTCACTAACCTGACTCTGAACATCTGCTTTTAAGAAGTCTTCAAGCTATTTAATATCCAACCTGCTGGATGTAAAGAAAAGAGATCTCTTTTTTTTTATCCATCCAAGAATGAAAAGCTTCTTCATTAAAAGGGGATTCTTTCGAAATCCACAAAGGTTGAAATTAAGGAAGTCAAACAAACATGACTCCACAGGTCAGAGGAGTTCAGGGGGGCGACTTATAGTATTTTCCTGTTGACTGCGGCTGTAAACAGATTTAATGACGCAGATCTCCACAGAGGGATTTCTGGGCTTAAAGTGACAGAAGGAAACTGAGTGGAGGGGTTAGTTTTCAGTCCCTGCAGCATTTTGTTTGCCCTCTCATGACCTCAGCTGCGATCAAATCCTGAATGTGACCTGACCTTAAGCTGTGCTGGAGGAGACCGGTCACACAAAGCACCTCATACGGACTAACTAGTCATTATTCTACTGAAAGCTATCTGAAAGTCTATTTTGTCATCCTTCACCTATCTAACAGGCACGAGTGTCTTCTTCTGTTTCCAGCTGGACGACGCATAAAGACATCAGTCAAACCAAAATAACACAGACGCAGAGGAAAGTTGAACCAATTGAGGGCTTTCAAACCAAAACCGCTTGTTCGACAGGCAGAAATTCCTGTCTCCGGCTACGCTATAGTTTTTCCAGACAACTTTTTATATTTAATAAAATTATAATCATTTCCGCTGACGTTAGAGAAGCTGCTCTCTATTTGAGTTGAGGCAGAGCAACTGTCAGTCACATCCGAGTAGATCGTGTTTGGGCGTTAATGGCGCACCAACCTGCACTCTGAACCTCCGTTATTCTTTACATTCATCTCTACTGCCGTTCTGCTTTTAAGAAATCTTTTAGCAGGATGTAAAACAGCTATGCAAAAAAAACAAAAAACCCCAAGGTTTAAATTAAGTAAGTAAAACAAACATGACTCCACAGGTCAGAGGAGGGCACTTAGTATTTACCTGTGAGTGCAGCTGTTAACAGATTTAATTGGGCAGATCTCCACTGAGGGATCTCAAGGCTTAAAGTGACAGGAAGTAACTGACAAGAGGTTTCTTTTTTCAGTCCCTGCGGCATTTCGTTTGCCCTCTTGTGACCTCAACTGCAATGAAATCCTAATGTGACCCGACCTTAGGCTGTGCGTGAGGAGACCGGTCAGACAAAGCACCGAGTATTTGAGAACTTGATTTGTTTTCGTCATTCTTCGTTAAACATGTGATACTTCTATCAGGAAGTCTAGGAATCTCAAACCGTCAACACTGGCATGCAACGTCCTGACTGATGCTGCAGTATTCAGGTATAAAAAAAAAAGGTGCTGGTGGGAGAGAAAAGCTTTAAAGTAACTGGAGGAACCTTACATATGAGGGCCTTCACTTCAGGAAGAAATCGAAACAGCTCCTCGTATTAATCACTTAGGATGACTCAATGCTTCAACAGTGACCCGTGATGTTCTTTACTTTCAGGCCAAGTCTTGCTTTATAAGCTTAGGTGTCATTTTTCTCTTCCTAGCCCTGGATATCTCAGGTTGGACCGCAGCTCCTCGTATATTCTCAGATAAAACAACTTGCATTAAGAGGAGGATGTAGCCGCTGACCGCAGGCCAACACTTAACCAACGCTGTTAATCAAGGTGACTTGTTCTTGGCTCGTTCTCTGCAGAAATTTAATTTAAAAGTAATATTCCTAAACCTTGTGCAGAGAGCTGGACTCCCCTTTCTCTTTTCTCTGAATCCTCCCCAGCTGGAAACCCGTCAGGGTCCGGCCACACGCCAGAGTAGTAGTCAAAGTGTGAATTATCCCCGTTTCCTGTTTAAAATCCCCAAAACCCTTTTTCAGGCCAGAGCTGCACTTACTTTCTGTCCAGGTAATCCAGAGTCACCGGGGTCTCCCTTTGGTCCAGGGCGGCCCTAAAGGCAGAAAAAACAACAACAACATGAACGAACACTGAAAGATCCGTAACACGACATTCAGAAGAAACATGTTACAAAACACCAACATATAAAAACTCTCTGCCGTGCGTTCTCATTTGCTTGTCACATTATCTTTTTCATACTACTTCATGGTTTTATATGGATCCTCTAATGACCCCACTTCCACTTTCACATTCAAGACTTGCTAGACTTTTGCTGCTAGCAAGCAGAGCAAAGTGATTTTTTTCTTTCCCCCCAATCTCTGGGCGGGATTTGTTTCGTTAAAGTCAAAATGTACAGACTGCGTTTACACCTGCATTCTTTCTTATCCAGATCCAGACTCCATGTTAATGGCAGGTGTAAATGGCGTCTGTGTAGTTTGGCCACACTCCTTGAGGCAAAAAAGTTAAAAAGATCACCTCTTTCTTTGCGTCGTCCTGTTGTCTAAAAGTTCCCATCAGAAAGCCTCTTTCTTAAGCTAAAAGAGATCCAAATAAGCTCTTTTCTGCTAAGGAAAGGTCGCAGAGCAACATTGCTTCAGTCGAAGGTCACCTGAGCTACCACTGCTGCAAACAAGCTTCGACAGGCTCTGATGACATTTTCAATCAGAAGGCAGTAACATTAACATTAGCCTAGGATGCCAAAAAGTAATCTACTATTATTTTTCAGTGTCGATTAATCTGTCTATTATTTTCTGGATTAATCTATTAGTTGTTTGGTCTATGAAATGTAAGACAAAAACATTGGCAGTGTTTCCCAAAGCGACGCCCTCAAATGTCTTTAATTTGTCCACAACCCAAAGACATTTAGATTACTGTCACATAGGAGGAAAGAACCCAGGACATGTTCACATTTACTAACTGATTAATATATAATCAAAATGGGTGTAAATTAATTTAATGGATTCATCCTTGCAGCTCTACATGTGACCCTCAACTCTAACGTGGCGTTCTCTCAAGATCATCCTGCATCACCTGAGACGCATCATGTTTTTCATGCCAGGTTGGATGTTTTATTATAAACTATTATAAGTTATAGAGTGCTGCTGGTTGCAAATTCTTATTTGTATTATTTATTCCAGATATCGTCCTCTAAATCTTGGACACTTGAACAGGTGAGTTATAAAAAGAAATTTACAACCCGCACAGTTGTCATGGATGGTGAGATTAGCTAGAGAGACCAGGCTGTAAACATGCTTATTTCTGCATTTTGGGCATTTTAACACGGGGGTCTATGGGGGTTGACTCGCTCTTGGAGCCGGTCTTAAGTGGCCGTTCAAGGAACTGCAGTTTTTGGCACTTCATTTTTTTTTTTTTGGGCTTCATTTATCAACCACGGAGGTTTCCGCTTGTTAAAATCTCAATCTGCAAAGTAACAAGTAGCTGCAGCTGTTAAATTTATGCAGTGGAGTACAGAGTAGACAGTCGTCCGTAATGGAAATACTCAGGGGCAGTACAGATACTTAAGGACAGTACTTTACCGCTTCCATCTTGTGCGACCTTTCTAGAGAGGATTTATGAACATCCCGTGATACTGAGGTCTCGGTTCTCTCTGGTATCACGTCTTCCCCTCAGACATGAAGGAATGTGAATCTCTGCCACAGATACTCCCCAGCTTGTAAATTCCCTTCACAATAAATCAAATAATCCCCGCTCCCGTGTGCCGACGCATCCTGGGATTTATGTTCAGTTGCTGAAAAAAAGACATCACCCGTGTGGCTCAGAGCAGGGAGTCAGGTGTGTTTATAGACTTACTGCCTCTCCTGGAATCGACAGCCCGCTGGGTCCTTGAGGACCGGGCAGACCCATGGGCCCCGGTGGTCCGTTATCTCCACGCGGGCCGATCGGCCCCTGTAAGTAAATAAAAGAAAGGTTGGATAAGAAATATTTAAACACAGGAGGAATTTGTTGCTGGATCTCTCTCGGCCCAGTTTAAGTACATCCAACAGGAGGTGAGGAATGCTGCCGCTCGGATCGGACCGAACCTTCCCTTCGTATCAGGGAGGGGAAAAAGGCAAAAACACACATTCAATAAGTGGAATCAGATGTTCTGACCCTCTTCAAAGCTTTTCTACTTTAAACAATCTTTTGTTTTCATTGAGGGCTGATAGTCTGATCCAGCTCAGTCAAGTTTTAAAAATGAGAAAAGGGTACTTACAGGAGAACCGGCCTCTCCTCTTTCACCTCGGGGACCTTTGCTGCCGGGGGCACCCTGAGTAGGAGGAGGAGGAACATTTGTCATGTTAACACAAGAAAGACAAGAGAGCAGACCGAAGGTGCATCTGTCAACTCCGACAAATACCAGGGGCTTTAAAGCCACCTAAAAAAAGTATTTAAACTTTAAATGTTTCTCCTATGTGAGTAATCAAGTCACAAAAATCTCTTTAGGGGTTATTTATCAACTCAACAACTTAAACTTCAGTTAATCATCAACAGGATCAGATTTGACTGACAGTGACCCAGAAAAAACATCCCGCAAACTGAACTGTTTGGAGAAAATAGTGTGTTCATGCAGGATTCCAGCACTCACAGCAAGAAACCGCCTGAGAAAATAGGTTTAGCAACTACTAACTACTATACTAACAACTATTCATCTTGTATCCAGTCCTAAAAGCTTAAGTGTGAGAATATACACACTCTGAATTCATTTAGTGAGGCAATACGTCTGGTGACATTTCTATATTTTACTGATGTGTGAGATGTTCTTTAAAGATCTATGTCTTCAGTAGGAACCGATGGGCTCGGAGCTGAGAGCCACAGACAGGAAGTCAGATGAGACAGACAAACATGTTGTTGGTTTTGGTCTTTTCGTGGGATTTGCTGACAATAAGAAACACAGACCACCACCATACTACTTTGCACTTATCGGTATATTAGTGGGAGGAGGGGAGGCTTTTCTATCAGCTGTCAGACAGGCCGGCCTTCGACGTGCTGCACCACATTTTATCTTCTCTCCCCCCCTTTTAAAGATTTTATGAGGCATTACAAAGAAGCTTCCCATGGTGAATGTGCTTCAGGGCGCAATATTTTCCCTTGTACAACATACAAGTATATAAATAACCATAAATAACCTGACAAAGGAGAGCTTTTATATGTGCAAGTAGTAATATCACAATGTTCCATTAACAATCCCGGGTAGAATGTTAAAATCCACAAGTTTAGATGTAACGGAAGACTAAAAGCTTGAGAAGCCCACAAAGCTTATGCTGTGGGCAAGTGAAGGCGACGTGATTGCAAAATGGAGGAAGATAGAGAAAATAGCGAGGGCCGAGAAAGAGACAGGCCAGAGAAAAAGAACGTGCCCGAGATCTGGGATTATTTCAGGCTAAAAGAAAACCTCAACTCTGTCCAGCGTGTCTTCGGTAACACGACAAGTTCTTAGTTGTAATAAACATGCATTTGTTGTTTTTGTTCTCTGACTGGTTAGTCCGGGAGTTTGGGTTGTAACATCACAGTGATATTAGTATAGATATAGTACCCAGGGGGCGCCAATAAAAGTATTTCTTATCCGATTACTCGAAGAATCGATGGAATAATCGGCAGAATACTCGATTACTAAAACAGATAGCTGCAGCGCTACATCAAAGTGAGCTTCAAGGTGTTGGAGAGTTCTAACGCATATCTACTGCTCTTATTGTCTCAGAGGGAGCTGTGTGATAAATAAATGTCCTCGAGTGATGTCACTTCATCGTTGATTGAAGACCTCTGTGTAGCTGCTGCTCATCTCTGCTGCAGGCTAAAGGCTACATTAGCCACTACTAGCATTACAAACCACAATTTCCCACCCAACTGTCTGTGGTCCAGTCGCACTCTGGGTAATGTGGAATAAAAACAAACAAAAAAAGACACTCACTCTGGTTCTGCTGCATCGATTCTGATACTTAGAGTCTGACAGTGTTACGGGGAGAGTGTCTAAACCTGAAAACAAGTGGGACAAAGTCCTGCACTTTGCACGGCCACCTAAGATTCATTGAGGTCTAAGACAGTAAACATAATCCAGACATAGTGTATCAACTAAAACTAACTATTTGTAGAGGACATGGTTGAGCTGTCAAATAAAAAAGTCTGAATCTGAAATGTAGTGAAGAAAATTTATCCAAAATGGAAATACTCAAATAACTGTGCTGAACTTATAGTGACCCCCTGCCTCTGTCAATAACAAGTTACAGACCATGTTTTTATGTTTTTTAGGACAGACAGGCAATCAGAAAGACGGATTCAGGGGACTCTTACCACCGGTCCCTGAGTCCCTGGCAGCCCGGTGCCCGCTGAGGTACAGCTGCAGGAGTTGGGAAGAGACGGACACTTCAGCTCGTCTCTCTGGTGGAGAAAGAAACACAGTCAACAAAGACATCCGCTGAGTGAACCTTTAGACCGAGTGTGACGAGCCAAAGAAAATTTAACATTAGATCTGGAGTGGAGTTTTAACATCTAACAGCGACCATGTCACTTCATTAGCAGCAGATGACTCATGCAGTCACGGTTGAAATCATTAACAGTCACTGACAAACTGTTAAAAAGTGTCCAGAACAATAAAGCAGTCCGGCAGATCTGAAGGGTTTCTTTTAAAAATGCTCCAAACACATTTTGAACTAGTGTAACACCATATTATAAATGTCTGTCACGGTTTACCCCTGAGAAATATTTCCCAGTGTTGCTGTTCACTGCAGAGGTCAACAGTTCAGACACCATTCATGTAGGTTAAACTGTTGCACAAGACAAAGAGCAGAGCCAAGATGCCGTCAGGAGATGTTTTCTGGAGCCGCCGCACCGACAAAGAGCACCAGAACAAATCTACGGCCACAGTGACGGCACCCTGGATGATTTTCCAGTAGGAGGGAGGGGGGGTTGTTTTCTGGTTCAGAGATTTCAGCACGACAATGAAATAAGCTTTTGTGAAAGTAAAACCTCAAGAAAATAGTTAAGGAATCTTAAAACCGCAATCTCCTGGAGAGAAGGATCTTAAGGACGCCCAGGAAGAGTCTTCCGGCGAAGCGGATGCTGTGTCAAGTTAGACGGATAAAAGCAGTCCTCCTTTCAAATGAAGAACTAAAAACTACAAACTGAAAGTTAAATACCTGATTTTCTTACTTAAACTTAAAAAAGGTTTGTTTATTAATAAACTTTGGTCCTGGAATACACCGAGACGCTCAGACGGATTCAGAGCTTTGACGAACAAAGAGTTGAGTGACAAGTTCAGGACTAAGTTCTCCCACCGCGACCGCAACCTCTTATCAGCGACCAACCAGAATACGACATGAAATGATGCAGAAAACGATTGTTTAAGTCATTTATCAAGAACAAATGTGAAACATTTACTGGTTCCAGTTCCTTGAGTGTGTTATTGACATAAAAATGTGATATCCTAGGGTGTTGGACTCTTTAGTCTGTTCATCAATAATGATTAACTGTTGGTGCCAAACATTAATCGCACATTTGATTTTGTATAATCTGGATCCTACAAATGTAAATTTCTTGGGAAAGTTTAGTGATAATTAACTTTACTGCATTTCTTCAGTTCCATGGGGCGGTTATTAAGCATCACTCGTGATATTTGGCTGGTGGTAAACTCCAAGTGACATTACATTTGGCGTTCAGTTCAGGCAAAATAGCAGGTTGGGAACTAAAATAAAAAAACAAAATTGTGCTTCTTCAATCTGGTGTGGTGTTCATTAAATGAAAAGACTGGAGTCTCAGTGTTCATCAGCAGTTTAGCTTTAGACGAGGCAACGTTCAGTTTCGTTCATAGTAAACGTCCCAGTTTTGTTCTTGGCTCAAAATTAACACATTAGCAACAACATTGGCTTTCTGGGAAATGCATTTTTATAGAAAAATGAGCAAAAGGCTACTGAATTTTTTTTTTTTTAAGTAGTCTCAACTTGCTTGCGGTAATTTCATTGAAGAATAACTGATTTCTTCACGATAACATGAGGACGTCATTTAGCAAATTTAAGTTTGGGTTTTTCTGGATTTTAGACATGCTTATTTTTAGGATTCTCCACTGACACAAACAAACAAAAAACAACTTTCAAGGCTTCATTTCCTTCCATTGCTGCAGAATAACTAAAGAAGGTAAAGACAGTTATTGTGGAAATTGTGTCTTGCCAACCGTTGTCTTTGTTTATTCTCTTTTGTTAATAAATTCTTCAGAGAAGTACTAAAACACATATCCAGCCGGTCCAGAGACCTGCCGCCTAGGGCGTCTTGCCCCGAGCAAAGGGATGCATCATAATTTACACAGTCAAGGTTTCTATGTTTTGGGGATCAGAGATCCTCTCTCGGCCTTGAATGAACATTCCAGGAGAGGAGAGGAACAACAAGAGAGGAAAACACCAAAACAATCTCGCAGCTCTGACCTGAACCCTAGTAAATGTGGACGGACTACATAAGAGTGTAGTATGATAATATTAAAAGATACATAAAAGATTAAATGTAAGAGGACACAATTTTCTGCCATAACATAAATTTCAGAGAGATACAATTTACAGGGATCAAGTAATGAGTTAACAACGCCAAGTTATTCTGCAGCAGTGGAAGGAAATGAAGCCTTGAAAGTTGATGCAACACATTTCTACAGGTGTCCCGCTGTGTAAACACCTCGAAACAGCATGTTAATCCACCCTCCAGAACTTTATTTGTACTATATTTTATACGTTATATATAACATTAAAGAAGGAAGACAGAGCAGCTGGTCATCAGTCGATCCTGCAGTGAAATAATGAACAAATCTCACTCATTTAATTGTTAATTATTGTAATTATCTTTGAAATGTAATGTGTTTTACTTGGCAGTTTGCTGCTTAATTTTGTACGTCTGCTGTTCTAAAACCGGTAGTGTACGTCTTTGTTCCATATTCTCCTTATGAGTGGAAGTAATAGTAACTATCTAACTTGTGTTGCAGGGTTTAGAGCACCAGCTAGAAGGTCTAAAAATGTTTGTAGACGCATCAGTTCAATTGTTAGGGTGAAGATATTTCCACACTGAGCTCCTCAGTTTGGATCATTTAATAATTGTCAGCAAAACAGCCCAATCACGCAGCTGTCCTCGCTCTGCAGCAATTGAGATAATAATCCACCAGAGCGGAGTCCTTTTCAAAATCTTTTGGCCGTCCAACTGCAGACGTGCTACACTCAGACAAAGCTTTGTTTGTTACGGCGTCTCCGGAGATCTCTGCTGGGACTGAAGTGAGAAACCTTCACATTGAGAAAGGCCAGAGTCCAGGCAGCCACTAAACAACAGCCTGCGCTGTTCTGCATTTAAAAATCTCGTACTGTAGCTTATGCCAAAATATTAAACTGCCTGCAAACAAATGTTCCCCTGTTTTTAGCCTCGCAGTGGTCTTGAGAAACACCAGATTTCGTCCTCTCTACCATAGGGGTTGATGCGTGAGGGTGAAGGGTGAAGAAAGAAGGGAACTTTCCTACAATGCTGTAAAAATGTTGTTCATGTTCATCTGTATTCCTTGTTAATGATGAGAACTATTAACGACAAATCACTCACTTGTTTTCTACTGAATTGGTCCGATCCACGTCAATGTCTCGAAAGACCTGATGCAGATGGTAATGTAATGATTGTGAGCTGAAAGCATTTTCTTATTGCTAAATCCAATTGGGTGGTAAAATTAGATTTTCCACTGCAAGCAGCAGCATCTGTGGTGGGATGCTGCAGCCTTGCAAAGTAAAGCCATGTGGTTCCTTGACAACCCCCCCACACCACAATTTTATTTAGACTTTCCTTGATAACCGAGTTAAATCTGACTGAAGTTGAACTCCCTTCATAGTTTGTTAAACCTCTGTGGGTGTGGTCAGAAGGAGCTCAGGTGACACGCGAGGCGACATATAGTAAGCTGAATCTCTATAATATGATAATCAAACATCAGCAGGTAGTAGAGGTGAGAGTGAGTGAGTATGCGTGCATAAGTAGTATGTATAGATGTGCGCAAATGTCTTGCCTTTCGTGTGGGAGACCAGGGATCGATTCCCACTCACTGCATCTGACCAAGAATGTTATCATGTCCCAATAATCCCCAGACCTGCTGCATTGTCAGATGAGTGGGAATCAAACCCAGGTCTCCCATGCCAAAGGCAAGAGCATTAACAACTGTATGACGGATCCCACCCTGCCTCCCCTCAAACATATTCATACTCTAACTCGCACGTATGTGCAAGCAAAGTATTCAATTTTGGCCTAGGCGGCTTCTCATATTAGAAGGAACGTCACATCAGACAGTTTGGGTAGTTAATTTGTACATTTATTTTCATGTAAAGATATTTGTGTTAAGCTGAACCTGCCCGAGCGCTTGTGCACCTCATGTCCTGCTGATCGTAGCTATAAAAGTTGGTGAGTAAAATGTCACCATAGCAACTGGACTGATGGTGAAAACCCAGAAAACATACTCAGGTTGTAAAAAAGCAATTCTGTCAAATGTATGAAACCAAGCTGCCTTCCAGCAATCTAAAAATCACGATTGTGTTTTGTATTATATCTCACGGCCTATTGTCCTTTTTTACCCTGTTTATTTGTCTTTGATTCAAGCCCATTCTGATTATGCTGCTCAGAGCTTTGATCTGCTGCTGAGTCTGAAAAACAACTGTAAGAAAATCAAGGACACTGACCACTGAGAGCAGTCTGGACCACTACAAACACTCATCTGCTTTTTTTTACTGTCAGGAGGTTATAATTGCTTCCACTCTGAACTGAAACTAAATGCGTTATTAAAAAGTTTAGCATTGTCCCGTACTTTAGTTCCAAAAGTGAGGAAAGAACAAGTGGGCCGTTTTCTACAAGTTATCACGCAAGTTATCAGTCAACACGCTCAGGGTGCACTACAACATATTAAAAAACAAACACAAACAGGATAAAATGCACTTACAGGCGTGAGATTTAAAGATTTTGGATGCATCTTTTGTATTTAGTGCTGCTGTGGATACAGGAATAACCTCAAGATTGTGTGCATAAAAAAATCTGGCCTTGTTTATCCAAGGTGACTTAACTATGGCCACATTTAAAAAAACTTTTAAAAAAAGCAAGCTGTGCATTGAAAGCATGTGTCTAAACGGGCCTTGAATATCCACAAACTCTTTATTTTGCCAATAATTAAAAATGTTTTTGTTCAGGATGGAATTCAAAAGTATATATGGGAAGAAAATCTTCAGTCTCCAGGTTAAAGAGGTGAGCGGAGGTGAAGTTTAAAAGGCCCCATGTCTGTGTTTCATGAAGGTAGGATTGTGTGTGTGTGTGGGGGGGGGGGTTCCCTTACCATAGATGGGAGGTCACAACATCTGTCCCTGCTGGTCCAGCCCAAGCTGCAGACAATATCGAACATCTGGAGCTGGAACTGTGGAGAGGAAACCAAAAAGAAAAGAAAACATGGAAATGGTGTTGTGGTACATGTGTCTCTGATACACCCTGCACAGCTCCCAGAAGACAAATACAACAGCAGAGAACGCAGCACAGCCAAGTCCCATCAGCTCCGGGGGAAGACAGGAACCATGTCATCCTGCAACCACGTTAACGTACACACCGCTCGGTATGTCCAGTTTAATCACCTTTAATCCATGACTCTGTGTCCCGGAGTTTTTTTTCCCCCCTCCAGATTCTGAGCTAAAGGGGTGTTAAGTGCTGTACAGCAACATAACATTTAAACACCAGGGTATTATTAAAATAGTGTCAGCATTCGAAAACTAAGCTCCCATGATGCTTTGACAACAGGCTAATGGATTTGTTTTGCTACACACCACATGTGCGCTCTCCTTTTCTTTCAGTCTGAACTTATAATAACAATGAGAGGAGAGAATCATCGACAGTGTCTGAAAAATGAACTATTCTAAAATTATCACTTATGGCCGCTGTTCAGTTGTGTTGTAATGAGAGAAAATTAAGTGCTTATGACTCGGCTTGGAAAATAAAATCTGCTCCCTTGAGTTTCTGATAAACTTGATGAAACTGGTAGTTAATGTTATCGTTTTTATTAATAATGGTTCATATCTTGAAATCATGTTTATTTTTGTTACATCTAACTGTTGTTGTATTTGCAGACTGCCAAACCGTAATCCTCATTGGGGACATTAACATATTCAAATTCTGAAATAACAAAATTAAAGTGAAATACATTTAAAATCCTTGGGACTTCACGGTTTAATCCGATCACTTCTTGCTCTCTTGTTTGTGTAAACTCTGCAGGATCAGGGCTGACTTACAGTTGCTGATTCTCCTTTGGAGCCGATGGACTTGGACATCTTGCCCAGGACCTGGTAACCATCCCTGGATGTGTTTCCAGCTTCCTTGATCTCCTTTTCAGCCACTTCTTGGCAGTCGATGTTGAGTTTGACGCCGGTGGATGAGACCAGGATATGGAGCTTCAGAGAGAAAAGGGGAAAAGAAGAAGAGGAGAATAGATTTTATTGGCACATTCTCTGTTATACGATCAAGTCCTGTGTCTGGTTTCTATCCTGATGGCTTGCACATTATTAGGTTATGCTGCCGGTGGAGCGCGAGCTCAGGGTGGACGTGACTCTCTTCTCTCCGCTGTAGCTCTGTTTATTCAAAACGCTGCAGGAATGTAAGAGAGCGCTGCGTTCTGCTCATTCAGAAGAAAAACGTGCTCCATCAGAGCTGGATTGTAAAGAAGCTCACACTTGGCTTTGGCCTCCTTCCTGTTGAGGTGAACATTAAGGGATATTAAAAAGTCACAATAAAAGTAATGAATCATCACTTCTTCACCTTGTTGGTCATTTTCCATGTTGTTGTATGCTCCTCATTTAAAGATGCCAAATGCCCTAAAAGCTTTTATTTTCAGTAAAAAATAGCGATTCATAGCAGGCCAATCAGGAAGCAACGTTCCAACACATGTTCTGTCTCAAGCTCAGGATCTCAGAAAGTTCTGATCACTGCTCTGTAACGCTACCTCGTTCGACTTGCTGGGATCATTCTTATGCAAGTTAACATAACTGTAACACACAACGTCTTAAGTAGAGACGTTCGTCCGCCATCAGTCTTTTTAAAGGGCACAATATAATGAATTTCTACCATATTCAGACTGTAATAAGATTACCAGTGGATCAGTTGAGGCTGCACCTTAATTAACTGCTTATGCATTTTTGTTTCTAATATTTCCTTTTAAAATAAACTAGTCTTAAACTCTTTACTCCAGTTGAATAAAGTTAGTTTAATTAACTTTAAGAGTTCCACACAGTTTGGTTTATGGATTTTATATTCAGGAAAAAGAGCCCCGACATAGAATTGCTATGTGATATTGGTAGATACTGAGTTGAGGTATCGAAATCGATATATAGAAAAGAAAAAGTTTTTCCAAATCTCATCTCTTGCCACAGTAGGTTTGTGTATCGAGAACCGGTTCCAAGTTGGAATCTGCACCAAATTTCCATGAATCGGGCATTTTGATTCTGCTTATGTTTCTACCTTTCTGCATATTTCGCTTCCTGCAGTAAGCATTTTACAGTTCGCTTATCTGCCGGGACCTGCTGCGCCGACCTAACGTCACCTCATTTGTTACGTCAACAAAGCATGAAGAAGAGAGTCCTTCCGTTTCCGGTCCTGGGCCGTGGCGGGCCGCAGCAAACGCTCTAAAGTTTGGCTTAGCTTCACTAAAAAAAGAAAAAAAGAGAACGACAGCAGAATGCAACAGCTGCAGTAAGGAGGTTTGGTGCGAGGGAGGAAGCAGCTCCGACATGTGTCGCGCTCCCAGCTACAATGACGCCCCAAATCCAGCTAACGCCAACGGTAGCAACGTCTCAGGTACAAAACACAGGTGAGCCGACGTTCACCTTTTATATATAGACTTTAGATAGATAGACGAGTCCCCAGAGACGCCCCTCTAGTACAGACTGCTTTCACTTTAGCCATAAGGGGAAGATGAGCAAAGAGGATGAAGGTCACCGAGATCTGTGGTGAAGGGGTTGGAATTGATAAAATTTAAACAATAACCAACACTATTCAACAGATTGAAACATCCCTGCATACCATTCTGACGTCCTGCTCAGCCACATCTTTTCTTCCCCCCCCCCCAAAAAAACTGGAAATGCATCCCATTTTAGAAGGCAAATCTCCCAAATTCCTTCCATCAGTCTCGTGTAAAATAACTGAGGCGGCAGTGGATTTATCTCTGTTATACACACACACACGCCACCACAATGCATTTCTCCTTAGTCAGATCTCCCTCGCCACATCTCATGATGTCATTTTGCGGTAAGCCATGAGTGCTGCCTGTACAACAACTTTTTTCCCCCGGGGCCGGCCCCTCTGGTCAGCTCCAGTCCAGCTGTGAGGAGGGAAAACGCTGCTTTACAAAGCCAGGGGCTGGCAGCTGCAGCTCGTGGTCGGGCAGCGGAACGGCAGCACAGTGTTTAACAAGAAACTGTCCAAGACAGACTTGAGGGAGGGAGGCGCAGCGGTGTTTCCACTCACACTTTGCATTTCAGGTGTCTATCTGATGCTCAGCTGCTTTGGAGGAGCTTCAGCCTGTCGCTCTCAACACTTTAACAGAACACGCTCGTCTGTGGACGCTGTAGGGGATTAAGGGAATATAAATTTCCAGAACAAGCACTGATATGGTCACTTTCAATCTGCCAGTATTTAAATGTGATCAGGTCAGTACCAAAAGTGAAAAAAAACCTCTGTGTTTCACTCAGATTCTTATCTTTAGGCTGGAAAACCCTGAGATTTAGAGGAAACTCTGACACATAGTTCCTGTAAAACATAAACTGATGTATTGGTCTCATGAGGATCTCTCTCTCTCTCATAATATCAGCTATTACTGGCATCAGACCTGAGAAAATAATAGGCGGTGCTGAATACAGAACTTCATTCATTTCTCAGGCTGTTGTTCCAGCTCTGGAAATCCTTTGAGCCTCACTTACATGAAGTAAAAGTTTATTGTAACTTTTTAACAATCAAGGTCGGCGAACTCAGGTGTTTCGATTATGCCTGGTGCACACTCATAAACGATATCACAGTGGCGGTTCCGTGGATCTCACAAAAACTGATCAAATGGGAATTCAGAAACAAACATGGAGGCAGACCGTCGTCGTCAGATGGTTGACCTTGTGCGTGCTGTGTTTGGCACAAAAAAAAACTAAAGAAGACAAACTGTGGATGAACTCGAGGCTGAGAAGAGAGGGATCAGCAGGT